GAGATGAGCAAGAACTTCTTGTGCAAGAAAATCTTGGCGAGGTATATTTGTTAATAATCTTGCATCTCTTACATATATATGATGAAATTAAACATAATTCCATTAATTCATATATATATGCATTACTAAATCTTTGTGTTTCTACGTACGTAGCCCTCTAGATCGACGACGTCGACGAAAAGTAAAAGTGTACGAGGCCCAACAAATCTGTTATAGGGCCACCACATAATCATAGAAGTTGATCCTAATACTGGCGAACCGCTCCTGCCAACAAAGAATGCAAAGAAATTTGTAAACCACTATGGGGTTCTTGTTAGAGAAAGGCTCCCGATCAACGCCCGTGAATGGAAAATGAAGAAGGAATCTCCTGAGAATAGTTTTGTCAATGAGCGAGACAAGGACATTCTTTGGGATTCAGTCACTGCATATTTCCATCTACCAGGAGGTGAAGATATAAAAAACTAGTTAAAAGTTGGTCTCTCAAGAAGATGGCCACACAATTCCAGACCCGAAAGAAGAAGCTGTACAATGAATTTGTGAAGAAGAATCTGACTCCAGATTTCAGTGATAATAGCCATACAAAAAGTTGAGAGACGACTGGCCTGGATTTGCCACCTGATAATGCCACTCCAGACCTTGGAAGAGGGTGAGGCACGGGTGAGAGGGAACCAACAGAATACGCGATAAAAGGTATACAATCATAAAATGGGATCAGGTGGCTATAGGAGTGGCATTCCCAGGTGGCAAAGAATGGAAGCAGACCTACTTTCCAAAGGGATCTATCCATTTTTAATCGATTGTCCTCAACGCTCCAAGAATTGGTTTTTCACACATGGGGGAACACTGGACCCAGAGACCGTGCAACCGATTGTTGGTGGACAAATCAGAACAATAGCACAAAGACTTTTCGATATTATAGATGCTTCTGCCAGTGGTGCCTTTGTGCCCAACCGAGAGAAGGATGAGCTGACGTACACCCTGTAGACTCCTGAACACCCTTGGCGAACATGAGGCAAAGGGTTGATCTTGTGGCGGCACGGCTTCCCTAAGGATGTCGCTACCTACAGAAGTCGCTAGTGAAGGAAGGACGAGGAGTAGAGTGGGTCCGCAGGTTAGAGGAGGCGGTGCTTCGATCGCAGGAGCGAGAACTAAACATGGAGGGGAGAATGCAAGAGGAAATCAGATGGCAAGTGGCACTATAGTTGAGTAGCCAAAGGCAGTCAACATCAGAGCATGGAGTCAATGTTAGGCCCCCTCAGCTAAGAAGCAGTTGCACTTCCACTGAGCTCCCAAATCAAAATGACCAATTGCAGCACTTCCCCGTGGATGACATCACTGTGCCTTTGACGCCATGTGAGCTGCACATTCCCATGGGGAATAGCACACTGGTGGTGGTGCATGGTATTGTTTCTCCTATGGCCCCTGACAAGACACCAAGAAGCCATGGGAATCCAATTCCTCCTGGATATTATAGTGTCTCGATGGATAGAGTTATCAAAGAATATAGGGAAGTGGCTCTTGGCTTTCCTAGAGGTGATGGGGAGAAGATCCTAGGACAAGCAGAGCATTCGTTCGTTATATGGTGCAAGCGCTACATCATTATTCCTGGTGTAGCGGCTAGGGTACCGTCGCCTCCTCCTCAACTACCTCATGATAGGTGCGGATGAATGTGAACGAAACAATTTTTTAATAATCATTCTCAATTATTTGCTTCTCATGTATAACCATTTACTCACAATCATTTTTGTACTCACAGGTCGCCCAACTTGAGTCCAGTTCTTCCATCCCATGATGATCATTAGAGTGCTCTGGATGATGATGATGCTCTAGATGATGATGATGCGTTACATGGCATGGTTGCATCTCCATCTCCATCTCCTCCAAGGCGGTCTCCCCCTCCTCCTCCTCCCACACAGCAGAGGCGCCATAAGAGGACCCTACCCCTGGTGAAGTCCCCGTTGAAGAAGAAAGCCTGCCATCGTAAAACAAAGTCCCCGGAGAAGCTACCCTATGAGAAGTCTGAAGAGGAATCAAAAGTGGCGGCACAAAAAGATTTGGATAACTTGTGGAAAAGTGGAGCGGAATCAATAGCAAAGAAGAAGGAAATTATGAATAACCCACCAAAGCCGCACTACATAGCTCAACGAGAACTAAGGAAAAGAGTCAGTGAAGTGGAGAAAAAGTGGCGTGAGGCATGTAAGCCCCCGCCATTATCGGACTATGAATGCTCTCTTGACAAGTCATATAAGGTGTCACTAAAAGAAAAAATAGCAGGGAAAGATGTTGCACAGCTCGAGCAGTAATCTAAGCAATCTATCGACCCGCTAGTTGTTGACGATGATTGTACAAACGCACAAGGTGGTCCAATCGATAGGGAGGCACTCCAAGACTTCATGGACACAATAGGTCTCGCACCTCAACAACTCATTGGGGGAGGATCGATACCAACAGCCAAATTTGATATTTACCGGACCTATGTGTATGGCAGGAGTCTTGTCAACCCTAAGTCCTATTCATCACTAGGTACGCAAATGTTCTTGTTAAACAAGTAGTACTTAAATGCGTGTGCGAAGGAAGGGGCATGGCTTCTTGCCAGAGTTAGACCAGAGCATTACTTCAATGGCTATGACATTGTACATATTGAGTTCAATGAATTACACCAACTATTAAACCGAGACGCTCTCGACAAATCTCTCCTCAACTGCTGGTGTTTGTAAGTGATTCTTTCTAACATTGAAAGTAACTTGCATGTTAGTTCATTGTCTATATATAGTTATCCTCACACTATATATATTCTTTTGTACTATATAAATGCAGATATGAGATGCTAAAACTAAAGAAAAAAAGTTAACGGATGTTGGTTTTATGGATCCGAATCGCACATTCAAAGACACAGTTACTCCATATGATAGATGGCGAACTCAAGTGGAGAAGAATATGTTTAGGTTCCTTGATAAGCAACATGACAAGACACTGATACTCTTTCCTTACAACTTCAAGTGAGTGTTAATGTCTCATTTTATTTTGCTTACTCCATGTTGACTTTAGTTAATGAGTTATGCCTGTGTATAAACATGTAACTTTCACTGGATACTGCTGATCATCGTATGCCCAGGAGTCTTGTAAAGATCTTTGACTCAGCGACAAAACCCCGAGAAGATTACTAAAAAATGATAGATATTCTCTAGTGGTAATTTTGGTATCGCACACTGTATACTCTCTTATGCCATTTTATTGATATAACTCTATTTATTTATTTTGTTGGACAGTGCTTGGAAAAAGTTCGCCTAGAAACACCATTATGGTCATTGGAAAGTGCCTCTGGATATAGTCCAATACCCAGTAAGTACTAGCTAGGTCACCGCATCTTTATTTAGTTCGATTCATTATTGCCATGCTTCATTGGTTGATGATGAATCTTTTTCTCGTAAAGTGGTGTCTGCAGCAGGGATCGAGAAACAACTTATGTGGATACTACATCTGTGAGTTCCTCATGGAATACTCAAGGAGAACTCTAGAAGAGATCCTCAAAGTAGGTAAAAATATACACAATTTATTACCATTGTGTTGATAGATATAATCATATATATATTCATACTTTTCCTTTCATTCGAATTGAAGGTTGAATAGAGAAAGCAAAAGGTTCTGCGATGTGACTAGATCAAAACAATTCAAGAGGCATTGTCAGGATTTCTTATGGATTGAGTCATAGATCCCAAAGGCACGTACTACTATGAGCATAAAGAATTATTACCTAGTAACCATATGACTGAAGATTCGGGTTGAATGACATTCTAAGGACACGAGTACAAGGTTTTTGTGACTTTATTATGTACATTTTGTGACTTTATTATGTACATATTCCATGCACGTACAACTTCTTAAAATATTTGTATATATAGTTTCATACATTTTAGTGTGTTATTTATGTATACTGCTCGAACGGAACCTTACACGTACGTATTTATGGACGTATATTAGCAGCGTAGAATTCGTATACGAAAAGCTAATCGAAACGAAAAAGAATTGAATTAAAAAGAAACCATAAAATGAAAAGGAAAGAAATAGAAAAAAAAAGGAACATTTAGTCCCGGTTGGAAATACCAACTGGGACTAAACGTGCCAGAGCCCCGGGGCAAGGTCTGGGGGATCATTTAGTTCCGGTTGGTAATAGCAACCAGGGCTAAAGTCCACTTTCAGTCTCGATTCCTAGAACCGGGACTAAAAAGAGGGCCTTTAATTCCGGATTCGCAATCCCGGTTGAGAAACCGGGACGTACTAAAGGGGGTTTCCCAAGCGGTACTGATGCTCAGTCCTGCACTAGTGGGTGGTAAGAGATGGATCCAACGGTCCTTAACATTGTCGAGTCAACCCAAAACCCTACAATGATACCATTATGACGCTGCTGAATCAAGCCACAACATGGCATTAGCATGTCAATGCCAGCTAGTGGCCTAAACCGGTAGCAATATCCCAACTAGAACTGTAGGTTGGTGGCCTAAACTGGAAGCAATATCCCAACAGAACACAGTCGGTTGGTGGATGTAATTAACCGGGACATTGTCGGGTTATGCCTCCACTCGTAACAGTGATAGGTGTCTTAAGTGTTGGGTCTGTCGAATCCACAATCATTAATGGGATCCTAGCCTAACGAGCCATTAGTGAAGATGGATCACTGTCGGCTCCAACATACCCAACAGTCATGTGCTGTTAGGCCGGGATTGCCTGTTCTGTAGCAGTGAACCAATCATTTAGCATTTAGCATTCGCAGAGAAACACTTCCTACGGACGTAGTGATGATATAAAAAACAATATTGTTGTGTATATAATGTCACTGCTAAACTAGAGGTACAGACTCAACAGATCGACTATCATTATTGGTATTATTATTAGACTACGAATGAACACACACACGACCGACTGCAATAGAAGCAAGCAGCATGCACACTAGCTAGACCAGAGCAACATAGCAATGGATATGGAAATAAACAACAAATAAATCAATATGGCTGACGGTGAAACATTCTGGCTTCCGGATCCCACCCAGGCATCGTACCTTTCTTGCCCTGGTATTCTTGTTCCCGCTTTTGGTCGTCCAGATCGTCGTCCCCTTGTTCTTTGTCTGGCATCTGAAGCTTGTCTGCCAAGGTCTTGGCCCCCTGGAGGGAGATGAGGAGCCAGACATAGGAGAGGAACTCCCCGCCTTCTCCCAAGCTCTTGGCGTGCAGGTAGCCCCTGCACATGCTGGCGGAGTAGCAGAGCATGCCCACCCACACACGGTGCATCAAATACCAACGGTCATCGGGGTCCTCCATGCGCAGAAGCTCCTCCGCGAGCTTGCAAGCATCGTCGATGATGGTGTACGCCTCGTTATCTTTGAGGCTGACTGCTTCTTTCCTGATCTTGCCTAGGAGGATGTCGTCGGAGAGTGGTTGCTTTTGCTGCTTCTCCTTGTCCGTCGTGAATTTGGTGGCCTGGGTGATGATGCGCTGCATCTGTTTGGTGGCTTCAGTGAACAGATACTGCCTGCTGCCGGTCATCAGCATGTCGGGTCTAAACACAAGCAGGTAGGCCATGTAGTTGGATATTGCCTCTGTGCACACCTCACGAAGCACCTCACTATGCAGAGGCCTGCACCTGAAGTGCCTCGGAGGATTGCTGCGGAAGCACAGGTCGGTGGCGATGTGCCAGATGAGGACGCTCGCGTCGAATGGCGTGTCATGAAGGCTTCGCCGTATCACCACGTTCTGCACGTTCGTCTTCCCTGTCCCCGAAGAAACATCAGTGTTGAGCAGCCTGTCCATTTGATCCTTAGTCCAGTAGTCCGTCTTGGTGAAGCTCCGGTAACTAGAGAGGTCGACGTTTTTCTTTTTGAAAACCCTCACCAGTTGAAGGGTGATAGCATCCGAGACCGGGCGGTACAGGTTACTAGTATGATCTGTGCCTGCTTCGGCTTCCTTAAGATAATAACCAAAGCGCCTGGCACAGTTGAGCAGAGACCCGGCCACCGGCCGTCTCGCCGTCCGGAGAACCGAGTCGACGAGGTTCAGCCCTGGAATGTTCTCGCACAAGGCTGCGAGTTTTGTTCCGGACATGAGCTTGTACATGAGGTCACTGATGAGCAGCCCAAAGACATCCAGCACCGCGGTGAAGCATAGGAGGATGTACGTGATCTTCACGTCGGTGGCGCCGTACCCACGCTTGCGGCTCGCCGCGAAGAGCATGATGGCGGCGATGTACAGCGACGGGACCAGCATCACGTGGCAGGCCAGGTACGCCGGCGTGAAGATCACGTTGGCTCTGGTGTAGATGAGCCCGAACGCCTGACGAAGCATGCGCTTGAGCCTGACATCTTTGTCTACGTCGAGAGGCTCCAGGATCGTCTTCTCGCGATCACCACCACTCATCTTCCTCCGTGCTTGCAGGGTGACCTCGGCAGCGAACAGCGACAGGTCCGACATGATCATCTGGACCTGGTCGCTCTGCGACAGGATCGGCGCGTCGCCTTCCGGCAGCTTTTTCCAGCACTTGTACCTGTCGCTGAGCTCGGTGAAGCACCAGTCCCACCCTGTGGGGCTCTCCCTCTCCCCTTTCATCACGGACCACATGGCCACCAGCCGCTTGATGCTGGCCCTCCGCAGAGCCCACGGCTTCTCGATGAAGCTGATGATGCCGATGACGAACAGCAGGATCGCCGACAGCAGCAGCTTCCTGTCGCTCGAGTCCGGCCACGACTTGTAGAAGGAGTACACGGCGACCGTGACCTGGGAGACCATGGTCACGGTGTGCCGTGTCCACAGCTCGTTGTCCTCGATGGTGTAGGCGGTGATCTCCTCCCGCCCGCCGAGGTAGACGAGGAGGAGAGGCGCCCACAGGACCTCCAGGGAGCTCCCTTTGTTCCCGTAGTCACAGCAGCTGCAGCTGCTGATGCTGCTGGTCGCCTTGGAATGGCGATTGAAGAGGGTGGCGAGCGCGTAGATCGCCAGAGCATCGGCGCTCACGTACGCCGCCCAGATGGAGCATGTGAACAAGCGAGGGATGGTGTAGTTGCGCAAGGGGGCTGCCAGCAGGAGGAACCACTGCAGGCCCAGGCTGCCGATGACGAGGATGCGCAGCTGCCACTCGTCCCACCATTGCACAGCTCTCAAGATGTCAACCATGTCTCTGGGACGATCTCCCCAAGTAGCAGCTTAATTAGCTCTTAATTGATGTAATGATGTATCTATATATGTCTATTTTTGGGAGTGTCACTACCACCACTCAAGTCTCTCTCTTTTTTTTTTTGGTGTTTGTGTGTCACTGCCCTGATGTTAGACCTATACCGATCAGTAGTGTTTATAATGCATGCGTGTTGGGTGTTGCCTTACAATGCAATCATGTGTGCCTTCCATTGAACAGTGGAATAAACATTTAAATATCCCTACTTTTATTTCTATTATTAGTATCACACGCTTTGTCAAAAGCAAAAGAAAAAAAGGAAAAGAAGAAGAGAGAAAAGCCGTCACACTCTCTTCTTGCTACTAGAACTTTGCTTCTATGTATATGTTGCTTCGATCTTGCTGCCCGGCCCTCTGTTGTCCGTGGCAATATTCCAAAGCGCTAACGTATTAGAGAAGAAATATACCTGCTTTGTTGTCAGTTATTCCTGTCTCTGAACTTTCCCGCCTTTGATGTTCTTCCTTCCTTTCGTGATGGTCACAGTATTAATCGTCGTCCAACCGCGCGCCACAATTGCACTGATCTGATATACAGTAATTAATTATTTGACCAACAGATCGATCTAACAGCAGTCAACTTAATTATATGCTTACAGTTCTCCCTTGTAATACAGTATTGCATGCAAGGCTTGTTTGGATGGAAACTAAACAGGGCAGACATTGCCTTTCCTGGCCAGGTAAAATTTTGGGCCACTATCCAAACAACCCTGCAATGTCTTCAATTCAACAGTCGAAAGAAGAATATTAGTCATGCAAAGTCTGCAATTTAGTTAACAGTCTAACCGACATTAATTCAGTTCTTCCACTGTTGGGATAGCATTCTGCTTTAATTTGGTGTGTACTTTAATCATGTGTGGGAATAATGTGACTTTAAAATCATGCATTTTGTATCGCACACAATACTCCCTGTCCAATGTCCATGCAAAGACTCTGGTTTAGTTAACAGTCGAACCAACATTCACCTCCACTGTTGGGATTATATTCTGAGCTTTGGTGTCACCTTATCAAGACAAAACAAAAGGAGAGAGAGAGAGAGAGAGAGACAAAGAGAAAAAACTATACTCTCGATCCCTAGTGTGCACTTTGCGTGCTCATCATAATATTCTATGCCCTACTTGTTAGCCTAATGATAGATGCTCTATATCACTGCACCATGCATGCATAGTCACAAAACAGCAACTAGCGGCCTAAGTGTAAATGGCATGGCAACCAAGATGGGGAAGGAGGGCACAATCTTTATTCAGCGCCCGCACTACTTCATTGTTCTCAACGCATGATTTCTAACTCTGACTCCGATTAGTTTCCTTGCATAACTGATTGAATTTTCTTTTTCTCCCATTAATATATTAATATATCTTCTAATTTCCTTGTATGTCAGTTTTTAATCTCTCTTTCCTTACATGAACAAACATTTAAGTATCCCTCCTTTATTTCTATTATTAGTATCAAACACTTTGTCAAAAACAGAAGTGAAAAAAAAGAAAAGTAGAAAAGAGAAAAGCCGTGACTCTACTCACTACAGGAAACTGGCTCTTTGCCGACTGCAATTTTCTTTGCCAACTGTTTTTTTTTTACACTTTCGGCAAAGAGGTCCTTTGCCAACTGGAATTTCTGCGATTCGGCAAAGCGAGGATTTGCCGATTGCTGGCTTTTGCGACCGCCGAGCGGTTGGCAAAAAATGGAGTCGGCAAAGGCGGGCCATGGTTGACGCCATCCACCGTCACCTTTGCCGATTGCCACTCCGTCGGCCATCGGCAAAAGCGTGAAACTTTGCCAATCGCCATCCTCCCCAGCGATCGGCAAAGAATTTTTTATTTTTTTGATTTTCGATCCCGCTTTTTGTGTTGCCTTGATACAGTAAGTACATGATATATTCCAAGTTTGGGATCATTTTGATTTATTTTGCTATATTCCGTAGATTTTTTACATTTCTTTGATTTTTCCTAAAAACTCCAGTTTGAACTGCGGTACATGAAATAATGGAATCCGCGATTGAAAATGATATTCATGATGTTTGGAGCATGTTGAGGCCGTGTCTGCGGGGCCTCGCGTGAAATTCGACCGTGTTGGTGTCGGAACACGCCGAAACCACGCGCGTGAAAAGTGTTTTTTAATTTTTATAAAATCGAAGCGGAGTCCGAAAATGATTGAAACTTGACGACGTGTCTTGTCGCCGCATGCGGAGGTCTGGTAAAATTTGAGAAAGTTTCGAGCAAGTGGCGACGTCGGTGGCTAAAACACGGACATCTCCACATGTGATAACAAGTTAGCGCAAATCCGCCGTCCATGCGCGCCGTTAAGCCATCCGCTTGACCCTGCGTCGCCGTCCTCGCCCTGCCCGTCCCTCGCCTCGCCCGCCCCGTCCCCGCCCTCGCCGTCCTGTAGCCCCTCTGCTCCACAGCCGGTGACGCCGTCCGTGACGACGAGGTAGTAGTACTACTAGTAGTAGTAGTTTACTTTGTTAATACACGCTATATTCTTCGCATGGATTGGAAATACATTTGTGGTTGTCGGCCATCGTGCACGACATGTATATGTGTTTGTCGGCCATCGTGCCGTCTTTTCTTCTTGCAGGTTTGGTAACCTTCCGTCTGCGGGGGAGGTGTCTGCCAAAATTTTCGTTCTCACTAATTGTTTTTCTTTTTCGGAGGGCTCCCATTGGAGGCTAGCCGGAGGAGCACGACTTCGGCCTTTGCCCTAGCCTTTCTTCACCGGCACCTGCAGTATGACCCCTCTTTCCGCCACATGTAGTCATAGGTCGCGTTACCCGGTTAGGCGTCTCCGTCCAAAAGCGGATACGGTTGGAAGTATCGTTCTTCGCATATGTATAACCGTATCCGTTTGGATATCCACGTTATTTGGACAGCCCGAGGATGCTTGCAGACGAGGTTAGCTCCATGTTCCGCTCCGTCCAAGTCGAGTTTGGCGGGACCTCCCGTTGTTCTCTGGATACACACTCTCCCAGCCGGGCGTGTATCGGGAGAACAGCGGGAAAATCTTCTGAAATTTGCTCTCGACGGGAGCGAGCATGGAAGCTAACCTCATCTGCGCATGCTGCTTCGGGTGGGATTAGGACCTATCCTTCACCTATTAGATGGTAGGAGCGCGTTGTAGATGCACTTGCTGGTTTTATCACATGTTAACATTGCCGCATGACGAGCATGGGTGGCCGTGAGTGGATGTACTCGGGCTTCGCAAGTAAGAGCCACGAATGGATCGAGGGGGACGATGAGTTCTGGAGCATGCATTTGGCCCAGTTTGCTAAAGGGTCGATTCGGATGCTGTGTCCCCGCGGCGAGTGCGAGGAACAAGAAGAAGAAAGTAAAGGCTCGGTGTTGAGAGATCTGTTCAAGCAGGTTCGTTCCAAACTATACCCGTTGGCGCCACCATGGTGAATACCATCCTATTAGGGACGAGGTGGTGCGACCCGTCCTCGAGGAGTATGATGGCGATGCCGGGATGGCAGACATGATGGCAGACTTCCACGAAGCACGGTTTGGCGAAGGAATGGATGTGGAGGAAGATCCGGAGGAAACCGCGAAGGCCTTCTACGACATGATGGAGTCGGCACAGAAGCCCCTTCACGAGAAGACAAAGCTTACGCAACTGGATGCCGTCTCACGCCTGATAGGGTTGAAGTCGCAACTGGGCATTAGTCGAGACGGCTTCGATCTCGTGTTGAGCATTGTTGGGGACCTTCCGGTAGATCATGTCCTGCCGACGAACACCTCGCTACTACGAAAGCTCCTTCGTGCACTTAAGATGCCGTATGAGGGGATCCATGCTTGTCCGAAGGGGTGCGTCCTATTCGGGGAGACCTCGAGGAAGCAAAACCTGTCCGGTCGCGATGCCTCTAGGTTCGTGTTGGTAGAAGGCTCGATGGCGGCATGAAACAGTCTAAGGTCCCCGAGAAGGTCGTGGCGGCACCTTCCTTTCCTACCGAGGCTGCAACGGTCAGATATGACGGAGGAGTCCGCGAAATGATGACGTGGCACAAGAATGGCAAAAGATACCATCCTGACAAGATGGTACACCCGGTGGACGGTGATGCATGGAAGCACTTCGATAACATGAATCCTGTAAAGGTTATGGAGGCTCGGAATGTACGCGTGGCCTTTGCCGGCAATGTATGGGTTCAACCCGTTTGGAATGATGGCGGCCCCGTACACTTGGCAGCCCGTGTTTGTGATCCCCTCAATCTCCCCGGCGTCATGTTTGAACCTAAGAACGTGCTCTTGACGCCGATAATACACGGACACCCGGGCGACAATATGGGTGTGTTCATGCACGGTGTGGGATGAATTGGAACTTGCTTGGGAAGAGGGGTACTCACGTGCGACCCAAGACTCTGAAGAGGAACTTCAGAATGCATGTGTGGTACCAATATTCAATGCATGACTTCTGGCGTATAAACATTCATTGGGGTGGTGTGTTCACGGGAAGTTCCCTTTCCCGACATGCAAAGCGCGATGTGATGTTCACTGGTGCGGCCAAGGGCGGCAAGTTTTCTTCTTTTCGACAAGCATCGCCAATTCACCGCACGAGAACCATGAATTCAGGCTAGATGTAAAGCACTTCACGAAAGGCGTTCAAGTCATCGCCCCATTCCATGAGTTAAAACCTTTGCCGCCGTCCTTGCCGACATCTGAGCTCTCGAACTGAGAAGCAGGTGGGTTTAAGGGATATGCTCGGGACCACATGTGGACTCATATATCGGGCTTGACTAGGCTCCCCTACTTCAAGGACCTTCTTCTTCCACACAACATCGATGTAATGCACACGAAAAAAGAATGTGGCCGAGGCACTCTGGGCAACACTCATGGACGCGTTGGCAAAAGTCGAAGGACAACGTCAAGGCTAGATGGACACGGAGATGATCTGTGATAGACCAAACACAGTGATGAAGACCCTGCGCCCGGCAGAAATGGAAAAGGGGACGGTCG